CTAAACCCATACTCCCAAGCCAAGCACCAAAACAAGCCAGCTGTTAACTCTCCACGCATAAATTATTCATCGCTTTCTGATCTAAATGATGCCGTGCGGCGCGGCTGCCAGCCATTTCCAGCCACTGCCTTCCACTTCAGAGGTGGCAGTAGTTCAGGAGCAGATGAAGTAGTTCCCCATGTATAGTTAAGAGTGTTTGAGCATCCCATCCACCACAATAGGAAAAAAATAAGCTCATAAGGAAACACAAAGGCAGAAAAACAACTGCTCCACTTGCAGAAGCTACCCAGTCTGCACACAGGACTTGAACACAACGATGCTCCGCAAACACCTCAGCTGCTGTTAGCCGTCTCCTGCTGATGGATGGGAAGCACAGGTATTTCTGGGAGCTCATCTTTGGGTAGCTCCAGCTGGCTATGCAAGCTCCCTCTCCCCCTTCATGCCCAGTGCTTACAACCTGTACAGGTGTCACGAGTTTGAGCAGACTTTTCCTTGGTAGTTTTTCCTACAGCTCTCCCCTTCCGTTTGCTTCGTCTCCCTACAGCGCAGGGTGACGTGAGAGTTGGGCATCGCTCGATTCTTCCAGGGCTCAGCAGTGACTTAAACATCTCAACCCTGGGACCCTTCAATATTTGTGCAAGGATGACTGATTGAATCCAGCACGATCTCACTCTGTCTGCAGATGACACTGTTAAACAGATCGATGGCAATGGAGTTCCTGGTGTCTTTTGTCGGCCCGCTAACTTTGCACTTGGTATCTTGCAGGGCCAACAGGCCAGCTTTCCTCTAACACGATGAATGCTGCTGTAAATACAGAGAAAGAACCAGCTGCTTCGAGCTTCTTTGCTTTTACTGAGCAGTCAATAAAGAAAAGGCCCTTTTGTTAACACATCTCTGGAGCCTCCACAGACTTTACGAGGAGTCTTTTATTCCTAAAGGTTAGAAAAAAGGAGGCTTCTGCAACCCAGCATATCACATCTTATTTTTCCCTACATGCACAAGCCAGCCAAAACTATCAAACTAGCTTTACCCCCATGATCCCTAGGATCATTAGGGCTTGTTCCAGCAGGTTACACAACGCGCTCTCTCTCCCCATATCACTAAAGCAATTTTGCAGGTTGCCTAGCGGATGAGGGTGCACGAAAGCAGGAGCGACGGGCCCGAGCCCTCAAGGAGGGAGGAGAGCTGATGCAACAGCTCCATTGAAGACAGCCTCAGCCAAACGCATTACGGAGGCAAGGGGGCTTGGCACTTGCCTTTTAATTCTCCTAAAAAACCTGAACTAGAAGCATGCTTCTCTCTAATTCAGTGAGGTGGTGGGTGGAGGAGAAAGGGGCTGCAAAGGAAAAAGAGCAGCAGTGGAAACCAGAGGCTGTGCAATGAGGAGACCCAACCCTAGCTCCATCCTCCAGCCAACAGAGCTGCCCATTGCTCAGCTTTCTCTACCTACAATGAAGCTTTGCCTTCCTCTCAAAAGTCTCCCATCCACATAGCTCCAGGAACCAGACCGGACGGGCTGCTCTGCCAAGGTTTAGCCATCACGTCACGTCGAACGGCACTACACGGGTACCGAAGGTGGGGCAAATTTGAAGTGGAGAGGAACAGGAGACAATTTGAAGCAGGAAAGAAGCCAGCCTAATGCTGACAAAGACTTTCGCAGCAAAACACTCGGGGAGGAGACCGATGATGTCAAATAGATTCAGTGCCACCATCAGTCACCGCTGCCCCCGCTGCACCTTGCAGGACCGCGTTTCCACAAGAGCAGGTCAGAGCCGCAGACGGAGCGAAGCGAGCACAGCAGCGGTGTCACGTTTTGCACATTTGTGAACAAAACAGGGGACTCTCTCCCCCAGGCCCCCAAGGTAATAAAGCTTCCCCTTAATGGGAAGCTGCCAGCCTCACCACCTTTGCTCAGCCACATCCTGGGGGAGGACAGACAGACTCCCAAAGCGGTAAGAGATGATGAATGAAATGCTGCAACCCCCAGGAAATTAGCCCGGAGTAGGAGGAGCAGCAAGCACTTCAGCCTCGTCACATCAAACTCCTCCGTGCTGGAGACAGGCCAACGAAGACTCAGAGGAGATAAGGAGGAGTTCAGTGATATTCAACTGAACTGGGGGGAGGAAAGATTTGGCAGCCACTTTGAAAACAATCTCGTCTCCCACAAGCGAGATGCACGCGCGTTCCCCATTCATCCCTGATGGGATGTGTGAATCCTCCTGAAGGGGCGACCCGTGTTGGGAAAGCGGAGGCTGTTCTTTGGCTCAGCGCATCCCAACGCACATGCGCTAAGCCAGGCATTTGAGCATCACTGCTTCACAAACCGCTTCTGGGCTGGTTTGGGTACTGGAGGGACTTTTCTTCTTGAAAACTTCCCTTTGATTTTCCTTTTTTGGGTGGATAAACCTCACTCAGAAAACACATCACCTCTTTAAAATGACCCCGCTCTAACGGCGCGATGGCCTGGGCCTGTGTCTGTGGTAGAGGAGACCCCACAGAGCAAACTTGGGTTTCTGGTTTTTGTGTACGGTTGGCAGAGCCCAGGCAATGCCAACCCTACAGGCTTATGACTGCACTCAGGGGCCCGCTGGATTAGGCCCCTAGCAAGAAGTGAGACTCCACATAACAGCACCAGCCCAGCCGGCCCATAAACAGGTGCATCTTGTTCTGAGTTTCCTCCTTTTATCTGTCCGCTCAGCTCCGTTTATCATTCTGCCGATGCAGAAACAGAAACCACTTCCAGAGCCTGGGTATCAGCGACTAACTTTCCACTTGGTCCCTGACAAGCGCAGCCAGCGATAAGACTTTCTCCTGCTCACCTTTCTTGTGCTGCTGCTTCCCGAATCGATTTATATCAGTCTAGGCCGGTCCTAAAAACTTGAGCATCCAATAGCAAAACGTTTTTAAGAGGCAAGAGGCTTTTATAGGATTGGTTCAGAAATGCACGTGGCGCTTACCTGGCACTTTCGAAGGTGGCAGATGCGGACTTCCCAATGGCCCCAAATCCGACGCCAACAGCCAGTCCCTCTGCAACAGAGACGGGGAGAAAAAAAAGAAGACCGCAAAAGTTAGAAACCCATCTCAGCCAGGCAGCGAGTCTCAGCCCGTTCCTCTGGAGACATCTGCAAAGGGTACACAGATTTAAGTGAATCTGAAACCAGGGGCCTGGGCCCAGCTGTGCCCCTTCTGTTCCAGCCCTAATTTGGGGGGAGGTGGCAAAAACTGTTAAAATCATGAAATTATTATTATTATTATTATTATTATTATTATTTTCATTTTGAACAAGATGCTCAGAACCAGGAGGCTTTACAAGCTCCAGATTCATCCCCACTTATGAGCATATGCAATTATAAGTGCCGGGTACCCATATTACACCCTGCATGGCCTTCTCTACCCGGAGCCCAAAACAACAGCATTGCTGAAAAGCTTCTATTTTCTGCAGAAGAGGGATTTTCTGTAGACAAGCATAGTCGTTTCTTGAGGAGATAACCACGTGCGATGTGTGGACAGGTTGAGATCGTCACGGTGTGCCTCTCCAGCATACGGAAATCACCGGCAGCCAGAGCCAAAACGCAACCTTGGTGAAGGATGCAAAGATGGGAGATGCAAACTGCGTTCAGCGAGTCAACCCTCATTCCTGTGTTTTAACTGGGATCCTCCAATAGTCATTAATAGCAAGGATGGGATTTTCAGACGCGCCAAGGCAGCAGGGCCTGAATGAGACTCTGCAAAACCTGCCCTCCCGCTGCAGTTCCAAGGTCCCCAGTATTTTAAACAAAACCTGGCAAAAGCATAGCTCCACGAGCAGCCAAAACCCACTCTCATCAAAGCCTCGTATCAAATAACGGCATCGCGAAGACTTCTTTCCTTATGAGTTAGTGACGGCTCGATGGTTTCCTCAAGTCCTAGCGCAACGTCTGCAGTGACCAAACTTCGTGCCCATTGCAAACGCGGCCCGTGGTGCTGACAGCGCACGGGTACAGAGATATGAAGGGAAACCTGTTCTTCTTGGGGTTGTTTCTCAGCTTGTTATTACTGTTGGTGTTAGCAAAACACAGAAAAAATGCATCCCTGGTGGGGAACCCTTCGTAGGTACAGCTGCTTCCCGACGGGCTTTTAAACCTGAGAGCAGTCTAATTACAGCAGTCATCCAGTCGAGGAGGCGAAAAAGGCTGTTAGTCTGTGTGCAGGTGTAGGAGGCCTGCAATTTGACATTGTAATGTCTCCTTGGCTCCACTCCCAGGGGAGATCCTTACAGGACCTCCTGGATAATTAGCGAGCTCTTTTCAGTTCTCCCCTACTTCCTTTGCTCTCCTCCTCGCCTCGGCCGCTCTTTTATCCTTCTTTCAAAAACACAGAAAGCATTTCTCCCAAGTTTCAGAGCACTGCAACCTTTTCTGCTTCAAATCCACTCTTTTTTTCTCACGAGCCCTTTTGCCACCGCTTCTCTCCGAGAGGGAAAGGGAAAAGAACAAAAAATTCAATTAAAACTGCTGATATGGTTGGATACCGAAATGGAAGAGGGTTTTATATAACCCAAGGAGGAGATGAAGTGTCTGGCCCTATATATACTGCGCTGGCATCTTGACATGAGGTCCAAGATGACGGACCTTCTGGTACCGTTTAGGTATGACCTAAAGATGATGAATGCCTCCCTGAAACTTAGCTCCGGTAGTTAGAGACCGGGGTGGGAAAATCTCAAAAGAGCAGGAACTTTCACAGGCTTTGTGGTTTTTTGCATTGCTGGAAAACATTCAACCTGCCTCATGGTATTTGAGCATTTCTATTTCTCAGCAAAGTGAAAATGCAAAGGGGCACATCACTTGCTACACTCTTGGGACCACCTGAAGCTCTGGTTTGCATTTTGGACACACGTTTAGGATAGGGGGAGCGAAAAGGAACCCAGCCTAACTGCACATCAGCACTGCTGTAAGCCTTTAAGTGTCCATGGAAAAGCTGTGCTGGTAAAGCCATGCCGTAAAACAGAGCTACACCCCGAGATGCAAGGCAAACATAATGAGCACGTTAAAATGAGACAAACAGCCATTGTGCTTGTGCAGAACGGAAGACTATTCTCCCTGGAATATATACACGACATGAACAGATCTGATGGGAGGCTGCTGTTTCCAAATAGTTTGCACCTGCACATGATGAAGGACTCTGAACAGCTCTGCTCTGCGTTCACCCAGCGGAGCCAGCAGCTCTGCAAAACTCTGCATTTAAAATAAAAACCCTCAGATTAAATGCTAAGAGCGGTGTCCTTTAACAACACTGCCGATCTGGCCTTCCCCTTTTGAAGCATAAAAAGGAACCCGAGGAACTCGTCAGACCCCACGGAGAGCTGAATTACGGGACAGGCCGACAGCAGGGAAGAAACGTGCCCTGTGCTTCAGGTTACAAAGCAGGAGCCTTCAGGAGCAAAAGCACCTTGGTGGTAAAAATTAATTAAAGTCAAGTACAAATTACATATGCCCAGGAAACATAAATAACGGGAAATCGAGACCAACAGATGGTGCATGAACGGCATAGTGGGAGGGAGAGCCACTGAGTGACGGTAGCTGCTGTAATGCACACCAGGTGCTCGACCAAAAAGTGCAAATTAGAAAGGGAATCAGGAACGGAAACAGGCAGCAGCCACAGGTTCGCTCCATGTGTGGCTTCAGGGGGCGAGAAACTGAAAGGAGGAAATGCCTTTGCGATGGCAAATGGAGAAAAGTCCCAAAAGCATCCAGCCTGCAAAGTGCGCCCACTGCTCTTCAGAAGGCAGGCAAGATGAGGACTCGGGGCACTTGGTGGAAAGACAGATGCGGTCCCCTCCCCTTCAAAAAGCTCCTATATATTGCATGTCCAAACACAAGTCCACCTGCATGCACGCTGCGCACACAGCTCCCTAGCAATTGGATTTATTTGAACTACTTCATCTTGGAAAAGCCACGGGGATTACACAGTACAGCAGCAGCACCTTTGGTATTTTTAGGCACTTTTCATAAGCGATGTCGAACTAACCCAACTGGCTGCCTCTTCAACAAGACTCGAACAGCTACAAAAGGACGTTGCAATGACTCCGCGTCCGCCGAAGTCAGGGCTGAGTTGAAAATACCCAAGGCGGCTTCTCTTATGCAGTCAGATACAAAAGCAACCACGCGAATTAACTTTTCAGATGAGAGAGATGCTGAGTCTGGTGCTGGACAGATCGCACCGAGAAGGGCAATGGGCGACGGTCTCTTTAACGCACTACAGACCCATGGCAGCTTACAAAGAGAAGCCATGAACACTAAATACTGCCGTCATCGGGGATGGCCTTCCCAAACTTGCAAGGGCTTGGTGCTGATATGGGCAGGGGTCGAGCCCCCGTTGTAGCAGAGATGGCACCTCCGCCCTAGGACCCTTGGGATGAGACCTGCAGCTGCAACTACCTTGGACCACTCCTTCTCCAAAACCCTCCAGTCACTGGCATTTTGAGGGCTTGTTCAGATGCTGGCCTCCCTCCTACAGCCTTTGCGATGCAGGCAGCTACCCGTTAGGTCTTGCGATGCATTTCACACTCAGAAATGACGATCCAAAAGCCTTGTTTCATGGAGAGATGAGGGAAGATGGACATATCAGGGGGCAAAAAGGAGGTGGGCTTCACCGCCCGTCCACTGCTACCTGCTGATGCCCCCAGGATGTGGCAGGAGAAGATAAACTATGACAGCTTAAGACCTCAGTGCAGGAGGTGTATGCCACGACGGTTCACTTTCCAATTCCAACAGAGCAATGGCCTGCATGCGGGCAGTCATCATATAGCAGCTGACATGCAAGAAAAACCTTCCCCCTACTATATTGCTTACATGCCCGTACCGGAGGAATTGGTCCAAAGCAATTCTGGGTATTGTGGGCTATTCCAGGCTTTGCAAGAGCAAGCAGCAGCCAGCCCTGAACATTTCTACTGTACTGTGTATTTTTCACAGAGCCAACAGAATAAATATGGTACCAGCTCAACGTCAAGCCGCTCTCCGATTTTCTTTTCCGACCAGAGAACCGTCTCCCAGGACGTACTGTCCCTGGAAGGAAGAAGCATAAATAACTGGTTGTACCCTAGCGGTGCTCTTTTCTGTGACATTTTAGTGCAAAAAGCCATTGGGAACTAGCCAGGAGGAATTTTATCTGTCATCTTATTGCATCCACAGTGAAATCCCTCTCCAAGATCTTGAACCACCGTTGTCTACAGGAGTTTTGCCACGTACTTCACTGAGCCCCCTGCATGGAAAACAGCCAATACCTAAAATGTTGCACGCCACATTATCTTGTAGTCTAACATTTTTATGGCTTCAAACACTTATTCCTGGCTGGAAAAATGAGGGATCCATTAAATAGTTGTGAGTTGGATAAAAAAAAAAAATACCAACCCACTCTGTCATTCCCAGTGAAGTGCCTATGCTTTTGAGCCCTGTCATTTATGATGAATAGACGAAGCCATCTTCCACCCATGCATTGTTCCCAAGCTTGTGTTCTTTGTCTCTAATAATGCGGTAGTGGCCGTGATCTCTTTTCAAGGGTTATGGCTTGTGCTGGGAGAAAACAGCACGATCTGCTGCTTACGCGTGATTCTCAGTTAAGCTCGTGACCTGCCCGGGTGAGAAGTCAGGAGCCCCCATCTCCACGCGGCGTCAAGGGCTGGTGGCTGCGGGCCAGCACAAAGCAACATCAGAAAAGGAAAGAGGGGGAAGGCAAAAACATCTGGCTTTTTAAATATGGACTTCACTGTCTCTGCATGACATGAAAACCACCTACAAGCTGGGAAACCGCTATGGTTCTCCGTAGCAAAATCAGATTGGGCCACGTGGTTCCCAGAAGCAAGGTCGTCAGCTCGAGAGCAAATCCTGCAGCCTTTTACTTAAGAAAGGGTGTTTGCACTATTTTTCTCCTCCGGTTCTGACCGATTCTGCCAGGCTCCTTAACAAAAAGGCCTTCACCTTCAGGTGGTTTTTTTCTTTCTCTTTCTGTGATTGGCATAGCCCTGGAAAAGCTCTGATGAACGGCGCGGC